ATAAAATAAACACTGTTTCATTGTAATTATTAATTTATTCTAAGATTGGATCATAATATACATTATATTCAATCCGAATAACGTGTTGTTGGCACAAGGCTGAAAGTTTGTAGATTTATAATTTGATATTAGTTGAATAAGGATATAATGACCTGGCAGGGATACCCCGATTGCCGTGTCAATTTTTTTAATTATTAAAATTAATATGCTTTTTCAAAGCTGTAACTTTAACATTTTTTAACTTACATAATGTTTAAATGAAAACAAAAATCAAGAAGATTTTGTTGGTTGCAAGTAGGTGCAAAGCTGTCGGCAAAGATGTTATATCAAGATGGTATTTCTTCACGTACTTCTACAAGGATAAAATTCTCACGAAATATTCTAAAGTTAACATTATTTCAATTGCCAAGCAAATATACTTTGTCACTTCGTTTTATCCTATCCCCTCACATGAGAAACTAAAAGTTCTAAAAAAAGTTTAATGCAAGTTAGTCTTGAGAAATAGGTCATTTATATACAGAGTGATGGGTAATGTTACATTTTTCTAAATGCTCCAAAAAAGTTAAAAGATTACTTTAAAATTTACTGTACAGTATTATATCCATCATATTTGTCGGATTTATCACTGTGTGTCTGTCACCTCTTGGTACAAAATAATTTTCATAAATAACCTCTAATTTAATTTCGAATATAATGCATATTTAATTTGTTTATACTGATAAAATAATGACCATTGAAAAACATTATAAATATTCAAGAATTCCTTTTATGTAGAAAATATTGTTTATTTGAATTTTTTGTCAAATATTGTATATTCTCTGGCATTTGAACGAAGAGATGTCGTTATAACATAGTGTCGCCCACATATATTTTTCTTTATGTTTCGATTTATATTTTTGCCGTTGTTTTTCAGCTACTTTTATGTAAGTTACATTTTCTAATTTATTGATTCTCCTCATTTCTACTGTTACTTATTCTTTTTTTTTTATTACTTTAACTTTACCATTATAATTAAGTAACATAATTTTTTTATTTCAATATTAGATTGGAATAAATTGTATTCTTGTTCAGATACTGCTTGATATAGGGCTACATTCCTGCTGTTAATTACTGAGGCCCTTCCTATGGGGCCTCAGTATTGCATTCGTGCAGACGAAAAAAAATTCTTATCCCCATTTTTTATACTTTTTTTTCACGTTTCCTATCATTCTCCGAAAATGCAAAAAAAAAAAAATTTTCGTCTAGTCGTCTGTGTGTATGTATGCCGGCACGATAACTCATTGAATTGCGGTTTTGATTTTCTTGAATAATTTCTTCTAACTTAGAATCCTATTGATTTTCAGAATTTTCGGTTCATCCTAACTACTTTAATATCAATGTTCTTAAAATCCGCTCATGCATTTCTTATGTCACTTATTTTGCGCATTCCTATCATTCCTAACGTCTAACATTCCTAACATTCCAAACATTCATAATAAGGTATTTTTTTTTAATTTCTTTTTCGTTGATTTTAATTAGGCACTTGGAAACATCGCTCATATTTGAATTGACAGCATGACAGATATAATTCTAAATTCTAATGATAAATACATAAATGATCACTTAATGATCCTCATCATATGCCTTTAATATGCAATTAAAAAAAAACTTTTATGGGGTTTTCGGGTATATATTTGAAAAATACTCTCCTTCCTAAAGTCTAAAATGTAAGTTTTGCAAAAAAATTTGTATATTTAAGAGAGGGCGTCTACGCAATATTTACCAAAATCATACTTACAGAACGGTGCAAAATTGGTATCATTCATAGAAAAATTTAAACTTGGGACCAAGGTCAGGAAAAGGGTTAATTAAGGTATATGTAAAAAATACATCAGTAGTCATCCAACACTACTATTTTTAAACTATCAGAACGATATATGCACTGCCCAAAAAATTTGTATTAATAAATTTATCAAAATGAAAAAAGATGCTGCCGTTTTTTTGAAACCATTTTAAATTTTTAAGCAACAATGGGTACACATATTTTTACATGAACAGATCTAAGGAAGTAAAGGGATCATATAATTTTACATGGACATATTTAAAAGAGACCAAATATTTTTAGATAAACAGGCGAAGTAAGGAGCCCAAATATTTTACATGAGCAGACTTAAGAGGTAAAGGGGCCAATTATTATTGGATAAATTGCTCGAATAAGTTTGTAACCCCTAATCAAAAGGCGATATAGAATGGTTTTAAAAATCAAGGTTTGTCAAAATCATCACATGGTTTGACCTAAGCAATGCCAATGCTTCACAAACCAGAAAATTCAACGTTTTAATACTACTATTGGTTTTCGGTCTTTCGTTCCAAGTTAAATTATTTCTCGTTTTTTTACGCCACAAGTTTACCCTTGTGGGCCTCAGTCCCGATAAGGTGGAAACCACCATTTTAGCGTCTCTCGAATTTATTTTGGATAAGGAACCAGACTGTTACTTTTTTGAATTGTTTTCTATTTCTTTTTTATTCAATTTAATTGAATTTGCATTTCTTTTTATACAAATAAATATTATGTTTATTATAATTAACAAAAACTAGTCAAATTTGAATTCATTTAAGGTACAATGCCTTACCAGGAAACTATTAGTAACAATGATAACATTTAACTTAATACAATGATAAGATGTAAAAACCAAACAGGAAAATAGCAATTTTAACGAAGGACTTTCGGTATCTGAGGAAATTATGACAGAGGCGGACTTACAAATAAAAAATAATTCAATAATAGGTAAAAACTTTTTTATTAATCAATTTATAGTTTTCTTTTTTGGAATTTAATATTCTCCTTGGGAAAAAATTGTATATCATTATATCTTTTTAAATCTTAAATTTTCGGCAGCTACACATATTTGTCGGGAAGGGTACGACCGCATTATAACACAAAACAACTACTTCCAGGGTTATATTCCCCTCCGGATGAGTTCTGACAAAACGAAACTAGTGCTCAAATCACAACCGAGCAACTTAATACTATGAGAATAGAATTATATTTTGTTTAGCCCAAGCTGGTGGTTTGTTCGAACAACTAATGTATGAATTATTTTTTTTTTGTAAGAATGTTTTAATTTTGAGTTATTTTTTTTTTAATTTTTACCAGAATTTTAATTTTCATGTCTGCTATGACAGAAAAGGAATCAAATAAATAAGTTGGGACATAATATATTATTTTAAAAGATAAAAGAATATCTTTCTCCTACAACTTCTACATTTAGGTGAACACCCCAATGCGTATTATACATTACTGAATTTAATAGAACCAAATTTACACCTTGGATGTGCTGAGCGGAACGACACCCCACTAATCAATTCGTCTCAAAGTGGAATATAAGGCGAGCTCGTTTTTTATTAAGCTGTCACTGTTCCTCTTGTTAATTCGAAATACCCAATAAAAATTTAAGCCGAATCTGTACAACATTAAATGAACAAAAACACATAATACTCAAAATCTATACCACATAAACTTGGTATAGTAATAGTAAAATATCTTAATTTTATGAATAATATACAAAACTGATCCCAAGAAGATGAAGGTTAAGTAGATTATTTCATTGATTCTTAACCTTCATACTTTACAACTTATTTGGAAATACAAAACTATATACCAAAAACATAATGATGGTTGTACATTTACATTGTTCATTGTTAAAATATTTCTAGGTCGTAATTTGGCTCAATTTAAAGAGTGGAATGAATTAGTATCACGCTACAATGCTTTTTAGTAACATAAAACCACTTGCCAGTTTCTTTTACCTAAAGACAAATCACAAATTTGTAGGTTTTTAATTTAAACACAACAAATAAAAATGTAAAAACCTTAAAATAATACTACATATTATTCGTCAAATTCCAATTCTGTACCATTATTTCGCACCCCATGGTAAAGTATACTCTTTGGTAATACACTACAAAATTATATAGGTATATTTAAAAAATGGCTGATCTACGTACCAAATTATTCTATTACACAAAACACATAGGTAAAGTACGAATCAACTTAGAAAAAGTCACAGACGTCATAAATGACAAAGATCGCAATAATTTCCTTCTCTCTCAGGTCTGTCCCATTTTATGAGTCAGTGGCGTTTTGACGATCATTTGGTATTTTTATTTTTTGAAAATAATATAATAGTCCTGGAGCCAACGTGCAGGTTTGTAACTTTTCTTATGGCTGAATTTATTATTAAATTGTACTATGATATGTGTCCAACAAATTCACGAAAGCGCGACGTTCAGACTGGGGCACTTAGGTAACTGTAGGCATTACAAAAGGTACGTGCCTCTCAAAAATTTTAATGTTAATTTTAAAATTTTCTTTATGCTCATTCGACGATAAGTACCCACCTACAAGAAATATTAAACTCTTAACCAATTTCTTATGGCTGATTTTTGGTTTATTTTCAAGTTTTTGTCATTTTGTTATTCAAAATTTAATCTACGAAGTGTATAGGTATATACCATTTTATATGCCGTGACTTTATTTATATTATAGAAACTTATTTTGCAAAGTACGCCTATGTAATGTGACGTTATAGCCCCACTTTTACTGCACTCCTCTTTTATTCAGACTATAGTTGATTCGTACTCTACTGTGATGTTGATGCCGATGCCAGACGAATACATTTGTTTACTTATCGGCTGAACCAGATTGTTTAAAATAAAGCCAAAAAATGCTGATTTTTTTTAATTTGTCTAAAAGAAACTTTGAATTTTTATAACACTTAAACTTTTTTAAAAAGTTAGTTACACTTAGTTCAGTTAACTTTTTAACTAGAATAAATGATGTATAGTTCATATAAAATGTTATGATCCAAACAAATTTACCTGGATCAGTTAAACATTCAACTTAGAACAGTTGGCGCTTTTCACAAATTTAAGTTGTTACACTATTTATTGTACAAAATCAAAAAAATTAAATATCATGTACAATCTGAAAAATTAATTGAACCATTTATTGCTTCTAGTGTACACCAACAGTCTACCCCGCGGACCCGTTCGACCCGGTAGCCGATGCCGCCACGCTCAAGAAGGCCATGAAAGGTTTCGGCACCGATGAAAAAGCCATCATCGACGTCTTGGCCCGCCGCGGCATCGTCCAGCGTCTCGAAATCGCCGAAACCTTCAAAACCTCGTACGGAAAAGACCTCGTTTCCGAGCTCAAAAGTGAATTAGGAGGCAAATTCGAAGACGTCATGGTAGCCCTGATGACGCCGCTGCCACAATTCTATGCCAAAGAACTACACGACGCCGTGGCGGGTATGGGAACCGACGAGGAAGCTATTATCGAGATCTTGTGTACCTTGTCCAATTATGGAATCCGTACCATTGCACAATTTTATGAACAAAGTAAGTATTAAATTTTCTACCAGTAACACAAGGGGTGCCACAGGGTTTCATTTTATGACCAATCCTATTGGTCTGTATATTTCTTTCAAATTTTGTTAAAAATCGTTCGATACACAGCTTTATCGATCTTTTGACAGAGTATCTAGGTATCGTAATGAAGATTTGAATTCACTATTTAGTCTACTTCACGCAAATCGTCTAAATCAACAATTGTAGTTGATGAAAAAAAAAATATATAATCAATTGTAAATCGATTACAGATTACAATTGGCGGCAATGTTCTTCTGTTTATGAATGAAGCCAAAAATCTGTATTTGTGGATTGATTCTGACCTTCGATAATTTACAAAGCACGTAAATTCATTGTTACAAAGTTGTTTTACTCTCCACACCAGGATACACATACTAAAGGTATGTTGACTTTCGATTCAAAATTCGTCCAAACCGCGCATGACGTAATGCGGGACGAACTTTTAAGTTATTTTGACACTTTTCGATTGAGTAGTGTAAAATAATTTAATAATTTATTTTTTTGTGTTAGTAGTGATTATATTTTCCTATATATAACAGGGAAGAACTAAATTAATTCTTAAAATGCCGGGCTGCGCAGTGAAGATATTTCCGAATGCCACCAATTATAGGTAAATTCTTATCGAAGTAAGGACAAACTTAATTGAAATTGCCCTATCCATTTTGAGGAAATTAGTTGTGAGATTCCTCTTAAACATAGATGCAAGAAAAGGAAACTGAATTACACCAGGTGCACGGGCCTCATTAAGCAAAGAAAATAAATCGGTATTTAAAAATTTTAGCAGATAAAACAGTAGTTTCCTGTCCCAATACAACGGTCCTTTTGAAGTAATGCCATGCATGAGCAGGATACGAACATAATATATAAGAATAAAATAAATGAACAGGAAAATTGGTTTTGAGTATTTTCAAAGTAAAGTTTTTGTGTACTTACTTTTTGTAAATAAATAATTTGTTTCTGCACACTTATTTTTTTTTTACATAATAAGAAAAGAGATTGTAAGAGAACTGCTACGCCCAGAAAGTACAAATTTAAGTCAAACTTGTATTTTTAGTTTATATCTTTTACTTATGGCCAGATTATGGATTTTGTCACAAAATACCTATAAATTATGAGAAAAATTATAATTTTTATTACTATTATTTACCTTAAACCTTTATATTTGTAAACGAATATATTACAAAATAACCAATAAAGCTTAAGTTACTGCATAAAATCTAAAATTGGCAAAATATCAAATTTTGAACACTATCTCCCATTTAATGCTTATAATTTTATTTTATGTCCCACGTGACGTCACCGTCAGTCAGCTGCATGCGCAAGAACATACCGTTAGTCTGTGTATCGTGCTCCACACTCACTAAGTTAAAACTTCTACGGAGTTCGATATGACTTTAGGTCCGCGTTTTATGTTTATGTATAAGACGCTAGTATTAGAACATTTAGATTGAATGTTATTTTTTTTCTAAGATACGTAGGAATATTATTTCTCAGAACTTCGTGTATAAAAGAAGCCATGTGTAGTTTTCGTCGATTAATCATATTACGCCACCTCATTTCTTTCAGTTTGTTTGGAACATGATCTCAAGATTTTAATGAAAAAATAAGCCTAACACACGCGTCTTGAATTCTCGCCTCGTTGATGAATACGTCGAAACATGGCCCGTAAACAAAATCAGCATAATTAGTATGACAATATATTTTTTTGCAGCAGATCCAAACTTACTAAGCATGCGAAAAAACTTTTAATTTGCGCTTGCTTAAAATGTTCTAGAAATTGATTAAGCATGCTTGAAAAGTTTAGAACTTGCTATTTGAACAAATCTAATTTTAACGACTCGCAGTTATTTTTTTAGAGATGAATTTAAAAAACAGTTTTTTTTAAGAATAAGATTTTTTGAATTTTTGCAGGTTATTTTTAGCCTATAGTTTACTGACTACTCGAAGTTTACTAGCATTACCCAGTTCATTAACTAAGAAACTTCTATAAATTTGAGTATCATCAGCAAAAGTTGATGTATTGTACAGTTTACAGCATTATTGTTTAGATCCATTGTGTGTGAGGGGGAGAAGTTGGCATTAGAAGAGATCCATTATATACATAGATAAAGAAGAGGTCCAAGAATTAATCTTAAGCTAGATTCATTAGATTTATAATAAATCAGTTTGACTAAAAGTAGTTTTCTGCCCAAGGTATCAAATGCCTTACTGTCTAACAAGATTGGTGTTGTAATTTCCCCCTTATCCCACTGCCTGTGTTATGTCATCCAGCATTTCACTTAGTGCAATTTCCGTGCTATGTGAAGTTTTAAACCCATTAATTTTCGGCAAATAAAATTGGTAGATATCTCATAAATATTGTACCATCTATGAACAAATTAATTTTTCCAAGACTGACAGCTTAATAATATGTATTGTACAGCATTTTTAAAGCCTTTCCAGCCTTTGATCTTGTACGTTTCTAATTCCTCCTTATAACTTAAGTATAATGTGCGGTTGTCCTGACGTTAGTATTGCTGTTTCGTCCTCGTTTTTCGTTTTCATATCGTTCCCTTAATACTACAATTAGGTAACTCGATTTTTTTAGTGTTTTGAGTCATCTACTTTACTGCAACCTTTGTGAGTTGCTCTTTGTAATGGTACAAGTAGGTAAGTCGTAGAGCACCTAGAACTTATCCACTTGTAAGTTGCTCTTTGTAATGGTACAAGTGGATAAGTCGTTAAACACCTACGACTTACGAAGATTGCAGTAAAGTAGCTAACTCAGAACACTAATAAATCAAGTTATCTAATTATAGTTTTCAGGCGACGATATTATGTGTGACTGTGGTTATTGATTTTTAAAGTATCTGCAACTCATTAATGAAAATAGTATCAAAGTTGCGTATTTTTATTTCTCTTCAACAAATTAATGACAAATTGTTTATTTCTCCACGTATTTTCTTTATTCTAATGACACACGACCACGCAAAGAAATAAAATTCGGTGTATAGGTACATGAGAAAGATAAAACTGAATCGCATATTATTATGACTAATTAATGACTAATTTCCCATAATCGCCTGATTTATCGCCTATTGACTTTTTCTTATTCTGATAGATCAAAAATAAAATGCGTGGCCAGCGTTTGAGGAAAAATGTTGTCGTTTAATGCTTCAAGGGATGGCAAATCGTTAACTATAAATATAGATTTAACGATTAACTTTAATTATATCCCATGTTACTTGCGTAATAAATTAACCTATATCCGTAGGCATTGTGGATACCTCATTAGCCATAAGTTAGGGTACTGGAAACTATAATCTCATTTCCTATTTTTGAGAGAAATATTTCATTAAAAATTTTTATCGACATTTACAAATGACAAAGAATCGTCGCTTTTATGACCATTTCAACTATGTAAATTTTAATGACGTAATTTTTTTAAATAGCGGATTTTATTTTACTAACTTGTATTGTTTAATGATTACTGAAAATGATTTGGTACACTCCCAATGGAAATTTTATTTCGATAACATTTAAAAACCCGATACGCAAATTCATTCTATTATATACTTTTGTTTAACGAATAGGCATGTTATTAATTTCATATAAAGAGTATTCAACATTTATACTGAAAGTGAAAAAATTACGTTTTTTTTGGACATACAAATATGTGTACTGTAATAGCTTCGAAATAAAAGTAAACACTAATTTATAATATTTACTCTATTTTATTCTGTTTATCTATACAAAGTTTATCCTATTCTGCTAAATATAAAATTGTGATTAAACTTCCTAAACATCTAAATTCCACAGAGTTACGAAATACACTGATAAAATCGATTTTATAACAAACTGTACGGTGATCTGCATAATATATTAAGACAAAGACGGTCAAATCATTTAAAATAAAATCAATGATATCGCATTAAAATAAAGAAAAACAAGAACATCTCAAACCTTGAGTCACAAAATAATATGAGCGAGCATTTCCCTCCAAAAAACAACTACTGCTTTGGCTAATACCACAACAGGCATGATTTTTAATTACAGTTTACGTATCAGTATATGATCTTATTACAGTCATCGGAATATGTTGAATATCACAACTATTGTTTTAACTTGTTTTATTAAAAAAAACACCAAGATAAATGATGAAATATTATTTGCTCGTCATTATACTAAGCATAATTAACCAAATTAATTGTGTTTCCTATTGACAATTGATTTCAGCTTATTTGATAGATATCTATGTATTTTTTTTTCACCCAATAATTTTAAGATTATATAATTTTAATACCGTGCCGTAGATAATTTGATCACCTACACCAGTCTTCGATGAATCACACGATTCAGACGAATTTTAAGTCAAGGTTGTACCGTTTTGAATACCTACCAACCAAATTTTTTTATGTGGTTATAGTTTGGATACAGGCGTACTACCAAAAATAAAACTTCACTTTAAAAATAAATACCATTACAATTTACTAAAAAAACTTTGAAAGTGGTTCAAATGCAGAAGAAAAAATGATTTGGTTAATTTATGGTTAAATTTTATGAGAAAATATTTACCCATCTTCAATAATTTTAAGACTATTAGTACATACATAAAAACCACGATTGGCAGCATTAAACTGTTTCTGCATTTATTTGGAACCCATCATAAATCACTTCTTACGTGCCTTTTATCACAGTATTACTATATTTCATTGTGAGTAAGCTAACTTGTTTGCTTGTTCATCAGGGGACCGAGAGCAATGAAATAGCTGGAGACGAATCTAAGAAAAAACAATGCTTAGTGAGTGGAATATAGCCCAGATCCTAAAACATAAAATGGGCTATGAACAATAGTACTAGTTTAGTTCAAACTGAGCTCATTTTTCATAGCAGCCGAAGAAAGCTTCAGAATTAATATCACTGGATTGAACATACTCATCTATACAGATAGTAGACAAGCACTCGTCGCCCAGGACAGGCCACAAATTTACTAAGAGTTAGGTTAGATGTCTCGATGAGCGGTGATCGACGACCGATAACCAATGATCGATAACCGATAACAGATGATCGATAACCGATGATCTATGACTAATAGACGATGATTAAGTGGATGTCAACCGATGTAATATAAATGTTCTGATTCAAATGAGAATATGGATGCCAACGTTAGACGATGAGCTATAGATTTATACAGGTACAGAAATTTAAATGCGAATTGCCTATTTTACAATCAATTGGAGACTCACAAAAACCGCTGATTAGCGGGGACCGCCTCACTCGTACTTCAGAAAAAGTGGGGAATCGTAAGTTATCTGTTTGTTTCAAAACTCAAAACGAATTTTGATTTCAGGATCAAAATGTTAGTTTTTATATCAAATTTAAAAAAATCAAATAATAAACAATGAGTACTGTGCGGGTAGATATCAAAGAAAAAATTTGATAGTTGGCTCAGGCCAATTGCCAAAACATTTTCCCACGTCGTTAAAATTTTCCCATGCTCAAAAATAATTCTAAAGGATACAAATAAAACAAATAAATAAACTCTATGAAACAACAAATCTAATGAATTAATGGTTTAAATAAACCTTCATGTCGTGATCTGGCTTAATGTTTGCATATTGTTGGATAATTTTTCTTTCTCAGTCTATCGAGGTTTGTTGCTCTTTCAGAAACGCCCACAAAAATAATTCGGTGATAAATCTTGTGATCTTGGAGGCCACTTGATCGAGCCACGATCTGGAAACATTAGCTTGCGAAATTCTGTTACTGTCTGTGAATTGTAATGAACGACCAAGAAATAACATGAAAACTACAATGTTTTTTTTTTTTTTTTTCATAAATAACGTACTAAATAAATGCTAAATAAATACTAAATAAATGCTAAAGAAATACTAAATAAATACTAAATAAATAAATACTAAATAAATACTAAATAAATACTAAATAAATACTAAATAAATACTAAATAAATACTAAATAAATACTAAATAAATACTAAATAAATACTAAATAAATACTAAATAAATACTAAATAAATACTAAATAAATACTAAATAAATACTAAATAAATACTAAATAAATACTAAATAAATACTAAATAAATACTAAATAAATACTAAATAAATACTAAATAAATACTAAATAAATACTAAATAAATACTAAATAAATACTAAATAAATACTAAATAAATACTAAATAAATACTAAATAAATACTAAATAAATACTAAATAAATACTAAATAAATACTAAATAAATACTAAATAAATACTAAATAAATACTAAATAAATACTAAATAAATACTAAATAAATACTAAATAAATACTAAATAAATACTAAATAAATACTAAATAAATACTAAATAAATACTAAATAAATACTAAATAAATACTAAATAAATACTAAATAAATACTAAATAAATACTAAATAAATACTAAATAAATACTAAATAAATACTAAATAAATACTAAATAAATACTAAATAAATACTAAATAAATACTAAATAAATACTAAATAAATACTAAATAAATACTAAATAAATACTAAATAAATACTAAATAAATACTAAATAAATACTAAATAAATACTAAATAAATACTAAATAAATACTAAATAAATACTAAATAAATACTAAATAAATACTAAATAAATACTAAATAAATACTAAATAAATACTAAATAAATACTAAATAAATACTAAATAAATACTAAATAAATACTAAATAAATACTAAATAAATACTAAATAAATACTAAATAAATAATAAATAAATAAATACTAAATAAATAATAAATACTAAATAAATACTAAATAAATACTAAACGTGTATTCTAAGAGTGGTGTTGGATTGTAAATGTTTAAATATGTTGGTGTAATTTTTTTTAAAAAATATCAACATAACTTCTGAACTTATTAAATCACCTATTATGTCGATTACGCTTTTAAAGGATTTACTAGAAAATTATTTGCAAATTCATTTCGAATTAATTTTGCTCTATTTTTTGAAGAGTTGTTAACCTCGATCGTTGCGAAGGGACGCGATATCAAGCAAATTTGAAATGTAATACGTGTACCTCCTTATCAATTAGGATGTTGTGCAGGATACAAATTGTTTTGATTAATAAAGGTATATCTTGTTTCTTTCGTTTCAATGACACCGTGTAAAAATACGCTATTTTACAAATAAGTATACTTAATCGCTTTTCTAGCCCGTTACAATCATTTGTTAAATGTTTCTTTTAATACATTTAATGCATTTTCAAGCATATTGTGAACTTATCGTACATTTTGGTATTGTCCTACATGTAAAATCGTACATTGTACAAAATACTAAAATTATCGTATGAAACTATAATTATCGTACGTTTGGCAATACTGCTTGACGCATCTTCCATCTCTCATCGAGATATCTTTGGTACGTACACCAATAATCCATTATTTACCTATATCGCTCAGCGCTTATCGATCATCGTTCATCGCTGATCGAGACATATTTGGCATGTACGTGCCCTTAGTGATAAAATGTCACCAAGTGTTGGTTGAAGTATCCATCAATAATGTGGTCACCTTAAGAGTTCACCAAGAAGGTAGCGAACCAAATACTCTTTGAATCTTGCCCTTTTATTGTCTCAACAAACAAATTTCTACATCAACAATTACGTCCACTCTTATTAATACATTTTGTTTGTTAAATAATAACAATTTTTGTTTTGTTTCAGTGTATGGCAAAAATTTAGAAAAAGACTTAAAAGGAGATACTTCTGGCCACTTTAAGAGACTGTGTATTTCTTTAGTACAAGTAAGTATTCTTTTTTTATTGAGACATTGTCATTTTATGCATGAGAGGAATAGTCATCAAGTATTTTTAATTTAATACTCGTATATAATTGTTATAAATTTCGTCGCCGTAAATTCAAAACCTTATATTTAGTAAGGAGCCGACATCTATTGGTATTTCTCAATCCACATACGTAACAAAACATTTTAGTTAGTCGAATCTCAGTAAGATTTTGGAAAAAGGCTCTCCTCAAAAAAAAAAAAACAATCGATCAAAGGAGATAAATATTCAACAGATTTGATTCAACGAAATTTCTTTCAACTTTAGTAACTCAATGTCCTACTAAGGAAAATAAAAGAAAGCAATATCTAGGCGAAACAGTTTCTCTGCTTTACCATCGAAAAGTCGATAACGTACTTATACCGGTGTGTAAGGAAATGTTTTTATCCACTCTTGCCATCGGAGAAATGAGTGTAGTCAATTGCCTTTGTTTTAAAATTAAAGGCCGTCTAGTGGAATTTCTTGAAAAACTTCCGAAGTTACCATCACACTACTGTTTTTTTTTTATCCGAAATAGAAAAGTTCGATATTGATACATCATACTACCTCAGGAAATTTCAGTGCGATCTTTATTTTTCCATAAGATGGGAAATATTTGCAATAAATTATACAGAAAACACCTAGCAGAAAAGGGTGGTGTAACAGAAATATTATTTTTATGTGTGATTGACCTAATTGCGTAACACCACTGACTATGCTAATTTTTTTCTTTCGCGATATAGACAATAAAGACAGCTCCATCCACCAAAACGTTGTTTCTATAAATTATTTTTAATTTTTGGTTAACCAGTCATATTGTAACCACTGGCGTCCGCCCTTCGACCAATTTTCCATAATGACTGTCTAGGTTTTTTTCAAGTGTCAGCATAATATACTGACATTACTTAAAGTGTTGCTAGAGCTGAGTCATCTAGTTTTGAGCTACGTGCGCTGTAGCTTATTATTGAAGCAGTGGTATCTTTATCAGCAAATAAGATATGTTGTATAAATTTGCGTATCCGGTGAGCTACTTAACTGACTGACATTTCGAAATATCCGTTTGGATTGCATATTGTTTTGAAATTTAACTTTAATCTGTACCGATTGTCACATTTTTTTTTATTTTTAAAATCTCTGATTATTACACTATAGCTAGAGATGAAAAACTGATAAACAAGAATGAAGCTGTTTCAGAAATTGTATGTATTTTAGCTGTAGATATTCAAACTATACAATTTCTGTAGAAGGTGAAATATTGTATTTTAAACAAAACCTGGCTTGTCATAGCTATAACCTGAAAAACTATAAGGTAGTTTGATAGGTATGGCAAGAGGGTGAACGGGAGATGGATGGAAACTATTTTGCATCCTCTATTTGATATCTTCCTTAAGAAGGAATAGAGGATGTTAACGAAACAACTAAAAGTATCTACAGTGATGCACGTGGCGCGCAGAACAGAAACGTGACATTAGAAAATGCTCTTCTACAATTTGTCATTCAAACCCAAAACTAATAATCAAAAAATTTTAGGCTAACAGAGACGAAAATCAAGGTGTAAACGAACAACAAGCCTTGGCCGATGCCGAAGCACTCATCGAAGCCGGAGAATCAAAATGGGGAACCGAGGAATCCATGTTCAATCAAGTCCTCATCACGAGAAGTTACCAACAATTAAGAGCCACATTTAGCGAATACGAACGGTTAACGGGTAAAGACATTGAACAATCCATCAAGAAGGAATTCTCTGGTAGTATCGAAAAGGGACTTCTAGGAATTGGTAAGTCAATTTATATAGGCAACATTAATGAATTTTTGCAGAACGTTCTAAATACTTTCAGCGGCCGTCCTTAAGGATCTTTTTTTTTTTACTTTAAGAGTCACTTTACGGTTCTTAAATTTCCATGCCGCTAGTAAAATTGATTCTGTATTTTAAGGAAAATCATTATTGGCCTGATTATTAAAAAAATAAGTCAAATTACCTTCGAAAGAAATTTGATATTTGCTCTCTATACAGTATCGGCTATTGAAAACCTTCCAATTCGGTTTGCTAGTGTCGAAGCGAAAACTACAGAGATTTTTCATTAGTTTGAGAAGGAAACGAATATTATCAACGTTGTCAACAGCCCGGCCGCGTGGGGATATCTGTCTTGTACCTATTCTAGTAATATTTTATCTAAGCATGTTTCGATTAATCGTCTTATTTTTAATCATAAAATTTTCAGTTGTTCAGTGTCCCATTCTTAATTAGACATCCTGTATGAAGCGTATCTTTACGTACCAAAATAAGTGTCAAAATGTTAATTTTTTAAGGACAGTCGTAGATAAAAAAATTGTAAGACACAAAAGTGATTTTATTCCAAAGTATAAAAATTACTTTTTCCTACGACCACTTAGGAAAGTGACACATATCACACTATATAGACCTATGGAAAGTGCCCTATATCACACGCGTATGAATAAGAATTTACTTTCCACCCAAGTGAGAATATGCTACTTTCCGCAGTAGCTGTCAGAAAATGTCAAACACATAATTTCTATTTTGATCTATGTAATGTCCATATTAATACTAAAATCGATATGATTGTTAAATTATTGTAAATTAGATCCTAGATATTTATCTTTAACAATTATTTTTAAAATAATTTTAAAATAACTAAGATATATTTGCTTTTTATTCTGGTTAAACACATAAGCGATTAGATCAATCAATTACCGTAAGGCCTGTTAGCTCAGTTGGTTAGAGCATCAACTTTGCAATTTGAGACCGTCCAACGACCGCGATCGAATCCTGGCTGTGCCAGAATTTTTTTTTTATTTTTTTTTTATTTTTTTTTATTTGTTTAGAAATTATGAAAATTTAATAAATACGATTATTGTTGATTATTTTTTTAAATACATTTTAATTATTATAATAATCTGGTTTTACATTTTTTGATGAAATTATTTTGTGGTCGTAGGAAAAATATTGTACATCACTTGTGTGAAAAGTGATTTTCCACACTCGTGTGATAGTCGCACTCGGCTTACGCCTCGTGCGACAATATTTCCCACTCGTGTGAAAAATGTCACTTTCCACACTCGTAATGTAATATACTATTAAAACTTATAGTATAAATATATATTATTTAACCAATCTGCTTTTTTTTCTTCAGTAAAATGTGTGAAGAGCAAAGTTGGATACTTTGCGGAACGCCTTCACGACTCGATGTCCGGTTTGGGAACAAACGACAAAACTTTAATTCGTATCGTCGTTTCGAGATCAGAAATCGATCTCGCCGATATCAAACAAGCTTTCTTGGACAAATACAACAAAACTTTGGAGAGCTGGATCCAGGTAAATGATATTTTCGTTTTATCAATTTTAATATCCATAAATTATGGTATAACTTGAATACAGGTTGTTTTTGAAATACATGTTAGTTATTAAAACGGATGGTAGTAGTATATGATGTCCAAAAACAAACGTTAATTGTTTTGTGGTGAATTTTTCAAATGTAATGTCAACCATTATTGTACGTTTCATTACAGATCACATTTCGCATAAACACAATAGCATTTTAATGCCAGCGTTATAGATTATTATCCATCTAATATTTTCGCACTTATCTCAAAATAAAAAATACAGTCAAAATCCCGACACAACTGGGTACGACTAAAACAAAAGATTTATTATAAACATCATGAACTAGGGCACAGTTGCGAGATTACTTTGCTATATCATACATTGTAAAACTAAACAGCCAGACGTGAAAGAGCCTTCGTCACTGCTTATAATCAACAACCTTTTTATGTTTTTTGACACCGAATTGTAGCTGCTACTTGTTTTCTTTGCTGCCATGTATCTTAAGGTGATAACCCATCTCATTGCGATTTCTATCCTGGATTTAATAGCCTCTACAAATCACATTTTCCAGACCTTATCGTTCTTGTGGTGAATATTTTGTGTTCTTTGGATGGCCCACGTCTACAGCCTCTTTTCCATATCTTGCAAACATTAACTTGGTCTATCCACCAGCCATTCACCTTTTCTGAGACTCTCACCCCAGAAAAGTATAAGCTCTAAAGATCTTTTCTCGATTGCTTAAATTAAATTTTCTTTTCATGTATCACGCATTACTTTAATTTTAGTGATGTTCAGTATTTTTTATCAATAAGTTTTCTTGCCACATTTTATAGAGCTTCATGTCTACAACAGCTTAATTCTCATCTTTAAATTAAGTTGGATATTTTTGTATTACAGACTATAAAGCCGAAACTAGTCTCACTTTAATTGAATAAAATGTGGTATTGATTTTGAGTTAATTTATTCCTTTTGACAAATAAAAATGTTGACACTACAATAACTGTTACAACAAAACTGTACTGCAAAATCAAAACAGTGTCAATAACAGACCCACTAGACAGCTGCTGACATTGAACTAAACTCCGCACGATGACATATTTAAATTAAATAATTTTTAACTAACTTACCTTAATATGTCAGTGGCACACGTCCGTTTTAATGACGATTTTTAAAACCTAAGGTCTATATTAACAGGTACTTAAAAAATATACTTTTCAAATATTAATCACTTTTAACATATACATGCATTTCAAAAACACCCTGTAGATTCTAGTTGTTTTAAGAAGGGTTCGGTGTAAAAGTTTCAAGATCATTTTATGGTTACAATACCATCACTCGATTTCAGCGCAAATCCTTACGTTTCGAACAACTGAAAAAGTCTTCTTAAAAATATTCAATATTCAAAAGTACAATATTATTAATTTAGTTATTATGAGAAAGGCAAAACAGAAATGAAGTCCTTTGTGTTCTACAACCTGTAACAAGTGCTTAGAAATATGATGCTGTTCGCCTATCTTGCAATATTTCCAGGAATTGTAGTTTTTTTTCTCCTGGGCTCGTCTGACTATGTCTCCGAATAACACAAGCCTATTGGCTTATTGTGTTTTACCCCATGTTATTTCATAGCACCCACTCTGTCACCTTTGTACCTTGTACAAGTTTGTACAGATCCTTGGGTGAGTGGGTTCTATACGTTGTTGGATCAACCTGGGGTTGTCCAAAAAGTGCCCGTCTTTTGCGATCTAGCTTCGCATTCGCACAGTATGTGTTTGGCTGTTTTTGGTTTCTTGTGACATAGTCGGCACATGAGTTCCCCATTGTACATGCCAATTTTGTTCAAGTGTCCCTTTACTGGGGTGTGCCCAGTCATGAACCCTGTTATCACTTTCAACTGGTTCCTATTCATAAAGAGTAGTTCTCCAGTTCTTTTAGGACATGGTCTGCCTATAAAGGCTTTTCCATGTGCCTGTTTTGGGGTGCTTCCCCATTAGTTAATATGTTTTTCCCGAATCCAGTCGTTTATGAAACCCCGGACTGTACTTTTTGGTATTCCTGGGTTTGTGTCTGGTTCCGGTGTTCCTTCTGACCCTCTTTTTGCAAGTTCGTCAGCCTTTTCGTTGCCTTCGATCCCTTGGTGACCTGGCACCCAAAATAGTTAGAAATTGTAGATACGTATATTATGAAACATAACTCCTCAATCCCAACACGCTTTCAAATCTCATACCTCCACTCAAGACACAATCTCCTCACTTAATACTGCTGCGGTCACAGCAGTAAAGTTTCTCCAAATCTCTTCAGACGTTCTTCATTCAAAAAGCCTTTGACCAAGTCTGGCATGCTGGACTAGTAAAAAAGCTTATGGATGTAGGTATTCCCCTCAAAATATCCCAAACTCGTATACGGATACCTCATTGACAGAACTATCGTTCAAGATACGCAATGTCCTGTTGGACCCATTTACCTCACTGCAGACACTGCAGTAAAATGTCTCCAAATTTCTTCAGCCATTCTTCTCGATGTTCAAATAGCCTTTGACCAAGTCTGGCATGCTGGACTAGTCAAAAAGCTAATGAACAAAGGTTATCCTTCAATATCTTCAAACTCTTACATTTTTACAACACTGACATAAATGGCAGTAAAAATAGGCAACGCCCTGTCAGTCTCATTTACCCTACTTGCTGGAGTACCTATATACACACTCGACTGGACCTCTGATGTGCAAGGCATTCTTGATAAGATGTTATGATGAACCAGTCTCCTTGAAGCTTTGTGTGGACGATTTGGACGATGCAACCCAAACACTCTAATTCATACTTATTATTTTATCCGCTCCATTGCCGAGAACAGAACAGTACCTTACGGCGTACTTCCAACACATCTAGCCCACAAACTTACCACACACACTCAAGACGTATTCTCCGACGATGCCAATATCTTTTCAAACCTACAGGGAACAATACGTCTCTCGCACCCTGAAAGGCTCTAATACACATTCACAAAACACTCTACAAACCCCCTGTCGCCCTTGGTGCCTACCACTATTCCACAAACCGAAAAGAAAACTGTCCAACCTAACATACGATTACTCTCAAACTTTCAAGACCTCCCCCACTCTCCGCTGCTCCAGGATTTATTGGACTATAATTAAGATTGCTTACAATTGAAAAAAAAAAAACAACCAAGGGCAACTAATTGCCTAGGAGAGCTACTTCTTAGGCTGTGAAGTCTTTTAGGAAAGACCAAACTAGTCATAGGGTTCATTTACTGGAGGATGTCCACAATAGATTTAAAAAGGTAAAAGTGGGCGGAAGACGTTCTTACCCACAGTCCTCATCAAATAGATCTATATACTTATAGAGTTGCTGGAAAGAGAGCTAATTATTGAATAGATACAATTTCGTGCAAGAAATTTATTTAGGTTTAATTTAGAAATTAAAAAGAAACTAAATAATTAATAATTTTGATTGAAGTATATCCAACTGCTCTAATGTGGTCATCTTTGGTAGACTTTCCCAATGATCTTGATGTTTTCTGTAAATAATGAGAAATTCTAAAAATACTTATCCACCAAACTATTGTAAATAAAATTAATTGCCAAAATATTGTAATGAACAGCAAAATATATTTACCGTGTCTATGTTTACATGACAACACAGTTATTCAGAATGAATTATTTCAGTTGATTAATTTAATAACGTGAATGCAATCATAAAATGATCTGACTATAATAATAATTACATTTACATACTTTCCTTCAAATTTGTTCATCAAAATAAATATCGTACTTTTCCATCTCAATAATTCTTCAGTCAACTGAGAAAAAAGTGTTTATCCTTGACAATTCACTTTCAAAAGTTTAATTTCATTTTGCATCTTTTTTATGTGGTTATGGTATATTTTTAGATTCTGGTCTAATAATTTCATTGCTTTTAATGTATCTACTAATACCGTCTTCAAAAAATTTTAATTTGTAGACGCTTATAATCACTGGGTATAATAAACTAATTGATGTTAACAAGTACATTGTTAAAGTATTTTTCGTTGAGGTAATTTTTAAATTACAATTTTAATAATTTTGATAGTTAGGTTTTATTAAAGTGTTCTGAAAAATCTTTAAATAAACTAAGTTTTTAATATTTTTAAATAACTTACTTTTTATTTTTCACCTTTAACCCATTGATACCCTTTGATTATTTAAGTATATTAATTATATATAAAATATCTCTATAAGCTTTTCTCAACAAATGTTTCATTAAACTGCTTATGTAATTATTATCAATAAAGGTTTATTGGCTGTGGTATATGTCGATTAACATCATTATTATTTATTTATTAAGATTCAAGTCAGCTCCTATTTATTTTTTAATTTTAATGACTGACTAAAATCTTTAAATACCTACAAACATTCTCAAATAGCAATATTTTTTGATAATATAAATTACATAATCATAAAGTTGCTTTTTAAGCATAAGAAGACCTTATTAAATTTAAGTTATAAATATCAAGAATAAAAATTGAGAGTTTGTTACAAGACCTATTAAATGCTAGACATGTCAACTTCCATAGTATTACAAAAATTCCAGAGTGACCTGTAGAGACTATAGACGGACGTACAATAGCCTTTGTCAGAAGTCCACAGTAACTTTTTAAAGTCCGCATTAATGTGGGCTAAAATGTATACAATGAATCTGCCAATTCCAAAGTTTCACTGCCAGAATTCTTTGGTAGAACTCCACAGTGTATTCTGTCATAATTTCTCAATGATATCTGCCAAAAGCGAAGAGTGACTTGTGCTAGAATTCTCCAATAATCTTTGCCAAAAGTTGACAGTGATTTGTGTCAGAATGCCCCAATTATATTTGTCAAGAGAACAGTTATTTTTGCTAAAAATCCACACATCTGTTTCACCCAAAATGTCAGACACAATAGTTTCTGCCATATCTACTATCTATAGCAACTGTTGGTCAGAATTATTCACCAAAAGAGTATATCATCTTCTGCTATAATTCTCCAATTATAACTACTAGAAGGATATATGAACCGCTGTCAAAAGTTAACCGTGATCTTTGCCATAAGTCCTTCCCGAGTGATCTTTGCCATAAGTCCTTCCCGAGTGATCTTTGCCAGAAGTCCTTCCCTAGTGATCTTTGTCAGAAGTTTACAGTGACTTGTGCCAGAATACACCAATTATTTCTCTTCAGAACACAGTAATCTCTGCAAAAAGTCCAGTCACTTCTGCTTCACCCAGAATGTCAGACATGCAATGGTTTCTGGCATATCTACTTTTGCCGGAATTCTCCACTAAAAGAGTATAGTTACTTCTGCTATAATTCCCTAATTATATCTACTAGAAGGGTATATGAACCGCTTTCACAATTTAACAGTGGCCTCTGTCAGAAGTCCTCGCCCAATGATCTTTGCCAGAAGTTGACAATGACTTTGCCAGAATACCCCAATTATATCTGTTAGAACAGTAATCTCTGATAAAAGTCCACCAGGCATACAATGGTTTCTGGCATATCTACTATCTATAGTGACTTCTGTCAAAATTCTCCACCAAAAGAGTATAGTGACTTATACTATAATTCACCAATTATATATACTAGAACCGGTATCAAAAGTTAACCGTGTCCACTGCCATAAGTCCCCAAATATCTTTGCCGGAAGTTGACGGCGACTTGTGTCAGAATACCGCAATTATTTATCTTCAGAAAACAGTAATGTCTGCAAAAAGTCCACAGTCACTTCTGCTTCACCCAGAATCTCAGACATACAATGATTTTTGCCATTTGTACTGGCAGAATTCGCCACTAAAAGAGTGTCGTTGACATATGCTATAATTCCCCAATTATTTCTACTAGAAGGGTATATGAATAAAGCGTGACCTCTGCTATGAGTTTTCCACCACTGATCTTTGCTAGAAGTTGACAGTGACTTGTGCCAGTATACCCCATGCAATTATATCTGTTAAGAAAATCTCTGCTAAAAGTCCACAGTCACTTCTGCTTCACCCAGAATGTCAGGCATACAATCGTTTCTACCATATCTACTTTCTATATCGACTTCTGCCAGAATACTCCACCAAAAGAGTATAGTCACTTCTGCTATAATTCCAGAATTATATATACTAGAGGGGTATATGAACCGCTGTCAAAAGTTAACAGTGACTGCCAGAAGTCCTCCTCCATTGATCTTTGCCAGAAGTTGACAGTGACTTATGCCAGAATACCCCAATTATATCTGATATCACTTCTGTTTTTACTCAGAATGTCAGGTATATAATGATTTCTACTATATCTACTGTATGTAGTAACTTTTGTCAGAATTTTCCACCAAAAAGGGTATCGTGATTTCTGCTATAATTCTCCAATTATATCTACTAGAAGGGTATTTGTGTGACATAGTCCAGAAGTCCTGAGTGACCTCTTCCAGAAGCTCTGAGTGACCTCTTCCAGAAATTCTGAGTGATCTCTGTCAAGATTCGCCAATAGTCTGTACCATACGTCCACTATTATGATGCTTTTGCCTGGAGATTTACACTGGAGTATTTTAGTGATTATCTTTAATTACTTTTACTTTGTCAGAGGATTGTTTAGAAAATAACTACCATCTTAAATAATAATAATAATAATAAAAAGTTAATTCTAAATATCGGAGCTTTATGATTTATAATTGATATATTAATAAATTATTTAATAAGAATTGAGAATGTTTGTAAACGATAAACTAGCTTTTAGATATTACTATCCTGTTGCATGTATTGTACTGACATTCCTGTCCTTTCCAGGGCGATACTTCTGGAGATTACAAGCGAGTCCTTTTGGCCATTATCGACTAATTTCCACAAAAATACAAAAAGCACTGTAACCTGTAATCCTAGATACAAATGTACGCCTTCACACTAAACAAAAAACTAGCTTTCGTCATACTGCCATTAGATTTTACATTTGATATCAACAATTATTTCACTGTCGATGTTATATTCGCGCTGTTCGCGAATAGATGGTGTTGAAACTCGTTATAGTGTAAGGCGGGTTCGGAGGAGCGCGTTTTATTGGTCGCAAACGGCCGTATACAAATTCGTATTGGTTTGGAGAGGTAGTAGCGTTCAGTAGCGACAAGTAAAATGCGCTTTATAGGAAACCCGCTTAAATCTGGTGCATGGGTTTCAAGGCCATTTATTTTAGCACATGAACCTTACATATTTTTGTACATTTGCAGGATGACGCTCCAAGTGAAATAAAGTACGTTTTGATACAGCTTGTGTGTTACGGTTAAAAAAAGTCCAATCACTCAGGTTTTCGACATGTTCAGAAAAAATATATTTAAAGTAAATTTTTTAAAATAATTTGTTTAATATATACCTATACATACCTATTTCTTATTTAATTATTTTAGTTTAGGTGGCCTTAATTGTTATTCGAATCACAGAGCTTTATTATATAAGATTTTAAACATGTTGTTCGATGTAAGGAGTTTTTGATTTTTATTTTTGTCTTTAAGTTTATATATCGAAGAGGGTGTAGGGCATTCTACAGTACTACTTTTGAATCTTTTTATATAAATATGTATGTTATTTTTTTCCTCATCTTTTATATAAGTGTTTGTAAATGTGCTTTTTATTGGTGCTTAACAGTAAAAATGTTGAGAAAACATTTGTCTTTTATTTACTATCCTTTATTTTTCTTAAATGCGCTAATCGAAAGGCCTGTCAATCTACAAAAAAAAAACATACATGTATTGCCGAATTGTGGCATTACTTCGGGTGATGCCAAATAAGTTCAGGCGACAAGTTTATGTTTGGTGATTACAGCAGCTAATTCAAACTCGTGTTGGGATGACCCACAAAGTTCGAAGAGATGCTCAAAATTCAACGAGAAGGGGTCGCCAAAAGTAGTTGGTATAATTTGAAACAGAAATTGTATGGGTCATCCGAGGTACGACAAATCTAATAGAGGTTGGGGTTCCTACAAGAAATTTGAACTTTTACAGTTTATCGCGCACAGATGTTTTGAATTATTCCACACTTTAGAGCAGGGCTTCCCAAACTTTTTGATGCCCGGGCCGAATTCCCTAATTATTTAAAAAAAGAGTGGATTGGCGGGCACATTGTAAAAAAAGTGTAACTAGTTATATATTTATTTTTATGAAATACGTACAACCTAATATATATATATATTGCAATTTTGTTTTGTCCACATTATGTAACACAATGTTTCTAATAAATGATAAATTTTTATAATACTAGTATTTTTTAAATACCAACCTTTTAATACAAAACAATAGTTATTTTTGTATCTAGTATCGACTATTTTTTTTAACTTGGCTGCGCCCCGTTAAAAAAAATCAGTTCTCGATCACCAAAGTAGCATTTCGCGCATGAGATGCAAACAAATTTTTTTCTACAAACGTCAAAAATATTATTCTAACAGCCGTATGCATAGTCGATCGCCAGCGATTCATTTCGGCGTATCGCCAGCGATTCGCCCAAGAAGGTGCCGAATCGCCGGAGATTGTCACCGGAATGTCATTTCACGCAAGTTTTTATTTTCTTTTATAGGGATTATCACCGGTATCTCTCGCATTTTATTTATGATTCATTTCTTAAAATTCAAAAAATAATGAACGAATATCAAATTTTTCCCTATAAAAGAACATGAAAACTTGCGTGAAATCACATTCCGGTGACAATCTCCGGCGAGTCGCCAGCTTTTTGGGCTTTCGCCGGCGGATCGCCAGCGAATCGCTGGCGATACGCCGAAATGAATATCTGGCGAGTCGCTGGCGATCGACTATGCATACGGCTGTAAAATAAGTAACATGCTTAGCTTAATATGAAAAATAGTATTAAACTGGCTTAAACTGTTTTTCCAAATAAAGTAATTACTGTAACTATGGAAATAAAATGGCATTTGTTGACAATTATTTCAAAGTGACAGTTCTTGATAATTATTTTGGAGTGACTTTTTATTCGCGTCAATTTCGTGCGTGATATTTATAACTGTAAAATAATGGAAATTTCGAGCGACGATGAAGTAAGCAGTACCCCACCTAACTTGACAGATGCGGCCAATTCAGTAATTTCAAATCTTTTACCGGAGAAATCGAGGAGCCAGTATGAAAATGCATATCAGCAATTTAAAGAGTGGTGTGAAGCAAATAAAGCCAGAAAAATATCCGAAAATGTGCTGTTGGCATATTTTGCAGAGAAGTCTAAGAAGCTGAAGTCTTCCACGTTATGGGCAATATATTCTATGTTGAAAGCAACACTCAATGTTAAAGGAAACGTGGATTTTAAGAAATTTACCAAGTTGGTTCCATATTTGAAAACATTGTCAGTTGGAAACCATCCTAAGAAATCTAAGGTATTGACTAGAGAGGAAGTTGAACAATTCATAAGAGAGGCAGATGATGAAACCTATTTGTTGGTTAAGGTTGATTTTTGATGATTGTTTTATGTGTTTTTTAAATTACTGATTTCCTTTTAGGTTGTTTTAATACTGGGTATTTCGGGTGCTTGCTGCCGTGAGGAACTCACTAAAATGACGATCGATGACATAGAAGATAAAAATTCCATTTTGATTGTTAAAGTACCCGATAGAAAAACGAATATACAACGAATTTTTACAGTTTCAAATTAGATTATATTGACATTTACCGAAAATATGCGGCTCTTCGTCCAAGTTATGCTACCAGTCGCCGATTGTTTTTGAAGTATCAAAATAAGAGGTGTTTTAACCAAGTTGTTGGAATAAATAGTATTGGAAAGATGCCTAGCTTAATAGCAAAACACCTAAAATTACCAAATCCTGATGCCTACACGGGCCATTATTTTCGGAGAACATCAGCCACACTCCTTGCTAATACGGGGGCCGATATGTTTTGAAGCGACATGGAGGATGGAAATCTTCGACTGTGGCCGAAGGATACATGGAAGATTCTATCAACAATAAAATTCAAATATCAAATAAAATTTTAGACTGTGAAATTTTAGGATCAAGTGCTGTCAACTCTACGGCAGTTGCTTGCAAATCAAAAATGGATAGTCTTCCAACTCCCAAAACTACGATATCACGAGCTGAATCTGAGTTATCTGGTTTAGGAATAAATATTGATTCGTGCACTGGATGCACCATTAATGTTAACATTGTAAATAATAAATAAAATTAGGTAGAGTTAAATTTTCTCACAATTTGAAAGCCTTAATTGTTGTTATACATTAATAAATAAATGATTTCTTGGATTTTTGCTTGATTGAGGAACATAAAGGTTAAGATATAAAAATCCCATATAGTTTACATGCAGTGTGCGAAGTAAGTATTTCGCCAAAGTATATTAACCGTTGAGTAGCGACATAAAGCGTCGGTGCCTTTGATCTTGGGTGGTGCAAATTTTCTTTCTCTTGACGTTATTGACGGAACGACACACTAAAACACTGCTCGAATTATGAACTGCTCTTGAATGTAATGTTTACACTGCTCGACGTAATTAGAAGTAAAACTCTTTTGTAGTTTACATTTATAATAAAGGTTTGGTAAATATTCAGTTTTATATTTATGAGTATTTAACTTATGTAATAAATATAAAAATATATATATATATATATATCACTATTGACAAATTTCAATTTTTTTACCTACGTCCGGATGAGCTAGAGACTTGAAAGTTGGTAGGTGCACAGGGTTTTGATTTTTGATAACAATAGAAATTATTACTTATGGACTTATGTGATTTTAAAATAATGTGCTCTTATGAAATTTAACTGGGTGTTATAAACAATAATTTAAATTTGGAAATGAACGATCTTAAACATAGTTATCACCGTTAATTTGGGATGAACAAAAATGAAATATGTTTAACACAAGATGTATAACTAAATTTTTTAAGTTGAGTTGAGTGTTAAGTGTGCTTTCAAAAGGCTCCAGAGTGAATTGTTAAGTGCCTATTCAAATGAGATTTCTGACCAAACTGTTTCAAACATATATCACAGCTGAACGGTTTCTCTCCAGTGTGAATTTTTAAGTGCGTTTTCAAATTGTTTTTTTGGGGCAAACGGTTTGAAACATATTTGACATTTGAACGGTTTCTCTCCAGTGTGAATTTTTAAGTGAACGTTCAAACTGCTTACAGAGCTAAACTTTTTCGAACAAGCATTACACTTGAGAAAGTTTTCATTAGTGTGTATTTTTTTTAAATGCGATTCTAAATTGCCTTTACGGATGTACCGTTTTAAACATATTTCACAATTGAACTGTTTATTCCTAGTATGAGTTTTTAAGTGTGTTGTCAAATTGCTTTTTTGGACAAACCGTTTTGAACATATTTTACACTCGAACTCCTTTTCTCCAGTGTGAATTTTTGAATGCTTTTTCCAATTACATTTTAGGGCAAACTGTTTCGAACACACTTTACATTTGAACACCTTTTCACCAGGGTGTATTTTCAAATAATTATTTTTATTTATTACGGTTGGGGATGTTTTAAAACAAATATCACATTGGAACACTTTTTCTTTTAAATTTTTACACCGACAAAGCTTGTATTGTCCAATTTTTTTCTTACAAAATTTTGTTACATTCTTTAAATAATGAGTAACGATAAAATGAGACAGAAAATATGACTTATTAAGAAAAAATTGGCCGCAACAGTAACAAGTTTTGTAACATCTTCCAAACTGAGCATTGAAGAATGTTTTTCTAGACGACCTGAAAACTAAAACGAAAAGTATATTAATTTGTTAGATGAAATACTTAATGTAATAATTTTAAATTGAAACCTGGGGGAGAAACTGGTTAGTCCGGAATTCGAATCCCACTGTTGGCCAGGATAATTAAAAATTATTTATGATGCATTCACTGTTGGGTTCTAATTAAAAATGCTGTTCTTAAAGTGGGGAAAAGTAACAAAGCCTACACAGAACACACACAAAAGAAAAAAATAATTCATAAATTACTGTTTATGAAGACTAGACAGTAGGCGAATCGGCAATGGTCAAATTTAAAATTTCCATCCTTCTTTTTACAAAGTTCGCGAAATTGACTGTAGTTGGAACGTCAAATAACAGCGGTGTCAATTTTCTATGTAAGTCAATAATCGTTTTAAAGCGATCAACCGGTAATTTGCGGTATTTCCCATTTTAATTAAAGCGATGTTGGTTATTCTTGGTTACTTTCTATGACGTCATATTTAAGCCCTTTGAAAAGTCATTAATTATAACCGGTAAATACCTCTTATCTAAGATAAATATCTCAGAGGTAAATACCTGAGTCCGGACTTGGGTTAATAATGACAGTGTCATGCAGTTACTGTCACAATATATCCCCTGTAGTAGTGCATCTCACTTGTTAAACAGTTGGCACCTCATACTTTGATTTTCTTTTACTATACAATATTTTTAATAGGTGCGTTTTAATCATCCGCTTCTGCTTCGGAATTGTCAGTTTTCTTGTTTTAATCTGACAGGTTAAAACGACTAAACCGACAATTCCGGAAGCAGAAGCGGATGATTAAAACGCACCTGATATTTTGCTTGCTGCTGTTAGTGAATATTATTTTTGAAGTCACAGTTTATTGCTAAAGAATCAGTTAGCTCACTCGGACCAGTTGAAAGTTCCAAAATAACATCCACTCCAGGGATACAAATTTAGGATA